TAGCTTTATTACATTCTAATAAGTTCAAATTTAGTGTTAAGGATGAACTAGTAGCAGCATTTTCTACTTATTGGCATATTTACCAATGGCAGGGTTTTTTATGAAAGTTCTTACTTGAAAAAGCTATATACAGCTTTTTTAAATTAGAATTGCGTTTATAAAAACAATTCTAACAGTTTTTAACTCAAAAATAAAATTTTGCATGATACCAATGGCTCTGCCAAAGAACTTAGAATATTGAACATTGTTTTTTTTTTTTAACTTTATATTTCGTTACCATAATTTTATTTTTAAATCATAATTAGGAAATAATATATTTCAATCGATGACTAATTTTTTACTTTGTTTAATATTGCAATCAAAGGATTTGGTTATTTATTTGTTTAATATTATTGCTCTCAATAATTTATTACCTTTTGATCTCATTGCATCTACAATAATTCTCATTGATCTGGAATAATTCATATTTTACGCAGTAAATTTAATTAAATGGAATAAATTGCAGTTTTGAAAAAATAATGTAATTTTGCAAAAATATTGCAACAATACAAACAAAAAAAAAGAAGCTAGTAAAAAAGTTGTCAAGGCTTTTCTGATAATAATTACTATTAAGTTAAAACGACAATAAAAAAGGCATGAAGTAGCAACTGCTTTGACGCTGTATGCTACTTAGGCTAGGCTAAAAAAATAGTAACTTAATCTTTAATTCATATGTAAAAAACTGAGAGAATGTAATAAAAAAAAAGTAATTTTTCTCAAATTACCGCCCAACAATGCTGGTATTTATCACTCTTGCAACAAAAACCAAAAAAAAAGCAACATACAGAGAGCCAAAATAAAAAAAAGTCAGCAAAATTAGAAACATCAACATATACTTATATTTTACATTTAATCGTTGGTTTTTGGGTCAAGGAAAACATTTCTAACATCGAAACTGAGCCTTGATTGCAATGTCGCACTATCGGAGTAGCAATTTGAATTTTTTTGATGTTGCAGATTTAACGCTTTCAGGCGTTGTACAAACTCCAAACTTAAGTTTGTTTTTGATTATGCCAAAAAATATTGGGGAGAGGTGTCTGGGAACAAAATACCCGAAAATATTGACCCCTCACACAGAATGTTTTTGTAATAAAAAAAAAAAAAATTATTTTACTATTTTACGCTGCATTTAACTTCATAAAGAGATTTTAAGTTTTATCTAATATCTTTTAGATTTCGAAAACTATGACCATCTAAAATTTCCACTAACCCTAAAACGAGGGTGTTATAAGTTTTGAATGGTTATAACTATTTACTTCTCAAAGATTATTCAAAATCTGCAAATGAAGTTAAATTTAATAAAAAATAAAAAAAAAATTTAAATTACTACCTTCAACTTTGGGGTAAAGGGGATAACTTTTTGGGATGTATTTTGTTGCCAGGCTCCAATCACCGCAATTTTTTGCGAAACATTATTATTGGAAATAAATATAAATATGTTTGAGTTTGGTGTTTGCTCAACTTCTAAAAGCTTTAAAACTGTAACACCAAAAAAATTCAAATGTTACCATATGAGTTATATGGTTTTTAAGGGTCAAATTACATTATTTTGGATCAAGAAATCAAAGAATAAAGTACAAGTAACAGAAAAAAAATTACTATACAACTTTAACTTCTTCGGTAAGTATCAACTACTTTTTCTTAATCTTTTTATTGCATTTTAAATAAGCCTTTCATTACAATATTTAAAATACAAATGTATACTTAAAAATATATATATATATATACTTAAAAATATATATATATACATATATATATATATATATATATATATATATATATATATATATATATATATATATATATATATATATATATATATATATATATTTAAATGTATATTTATATATATATATATATATATATATATATATATATATATATATATATATATATATATATATATAAATATATATATATATATATATATATATATATATATATGTATATATATATATATATATATATATATATCTATATATATATATATATATATATATATATATATATATATATATATATATATATATATATATATATATATATATATATATATATATATATATATATATATATATATATAAATTGCTATTAAAGAATAAAAGGACGCGGGGACTCGTAGAAGACCATACGGTCTTGTAGTTGAGTACCGCTAAAAAATAGGCGTGTTAAAATTTATTTAGATATTTACAAGATTAAAAATAAGTTAACTATAAATAAGTTAAAATAAGTTCTTTGAGTTTTCGTTTAAAGAAAAGTAGTTACTTTGATAAATAAAATTTAAAAAGAAAAATGGGCTGCTTAATCAAATTATCATTGCGTAAAATGTATTTATTTTTATCTTTTGATGAATACATATTATGGATAGAAATCCAGGATGAATTGGTTTTACATTTTAACATAAAACAAAGAATATTAAAAATATTAAACTCATATATATTAAAAACTTTCATTTGAAATAATAGTGGCTTGGCATGAATATAATGGTCTTTAAAATTTACGTGCAACATATTCTGCTGACAATAAAGATATATAAGTTTATTTTTATTTGTACTACCCCAAGCAATGTTTGCATAATTTATGTGACATTAAATAAATGAGTCATATAATTGTATTAAAGTATGTTCATTTAAAACATTTCCTGGTTTGTAGAATATTCCTACTTTTAGAAACTTTACTTGATAAGTTTTTAATGTGATTTATCCATGTACGATTTTCATCTATACAAACACCTAGAAAGTTGGTTACTGTTACTTTTTTAATTTGTAATTAAAAAAGTAACAGTAACCAACTTGTCAAAAAACATTGATAATCTGTCAATTATCAATGTTTTTTGACAAGAAGACGGAAAAGAATCCATTTAGTTTTATCAATGTTAAGAGATAATTTTTTAGTCTTAAACCAATAAGATATTTTGATTAACCTGATGTTAATATTTTGATTAACCTGATGAAATAGAGTAGGAATGCTTTTGTGAAACATAGATAGATGAGTGTCATCAGAAAACATTATTGTTATTAAATTCGAGAATTAGTATAGATCACTAATATAAATAAGGAAAAGTAATATTTAACAAATTTGATGAAAATGTTTAATTGGCGTAAAGAAATTATTTACGATTAGTGAAATAAATTTTCAACCATTTTAAAACATTGCCTGTTATACAATAATACTTTAATTTTTTAGCTAGAATTTTATGATCAATGGTATCAAACGCTTTCAAATCAATAAATATTCCCAATGTGAATTTAGAATTGTAAAATGAGTCTGATATTCTTCTTGTTAGCTTAATAATAGCATGCTCTGTTGAATTAGTTTTTTTGAATCTTTATTGCATGTTATATAATAATTTGTTTGATAAAAGGTGATTATATATTCTGTTGTACAAAATACTTTTTAAAACTTTAGAAAAAACAGAGAGGATAGAAATTGGACGGTAGTGTTTTACATTAGTTTTTTGTTCTTCTTTAAATATAGGATTAATTTTTGCTATTTTTAAATCATCAGGAAAAACTCCATGATTAATAGAGCATTTAAAAATATGGAATAGTATAAAACGTCAAATATGGAATAGTTTAAAATGTCAAATATGGAATAGTTTAAAACGTCAATAATACTTTATGGAATAGTTTAAAACGTCAATTATGGAATAGTTTAAAACAACAAAACAGCTTATAATAGTATTCCCATTGACATCATGAGGACCAACTGCTTTATTTGTATTTAACAATATAAAAATACTTTCTTTTTCTTTAAAAGATAAATCAAAATAATTTAGATACAAGTTTAGAGGGTCATATGTTGCCATTATTTATTTTTTAGGGTTTGGAATTTTTTCGGCTAGGTTTGGTCCTACATATATGAAATATTTATTAAATTCAAAATTATTCTTTCTTTCTGCTTTGCATCAAGCCGATTACTAGATTCAAACTGAACAGAAGCTTTCTTTTCAATTTTTATTTTTTTCCTGAAACTTTTAGTGTGAAGAGTTCTTTGAAGTTCTTTACATCTTTGTTTCTGTTTTCCGGCGCTTCTTTAAGAAAAAAATTATTCAGTAAGATTTTGTTGCAAATTGCCTAATAAAACTGAGCTAACAATTTGTGTTACCGTATAACGTATTATACTAAGGGTATACATGACCAAAACGGTGGGTTGTCTTTTGAATTTGATCACGAGAGGTTATGGGTTTACCTCTTCCATACAGACAATTATGCAGGATTTTGATGTACAACCGATTGATTAGGTTCTCATCAGTATCCAGTACCTTTGCATAATCCTGAAAACATCTTTATTTATAAAAATTTTAAAGCTAATTTATTGTTTAATATAAATTAAAAAAGTTACAAGAAAAGATTAATTTAATTTGAAAAAAATAACATTAAAAAATATCTTGCCGTATTACCATGGGTTGATGTTCCAGATCCGCCAGATCTAGGAACATTCACTACAATCCAATCCAACCTTCTGCCTAAATTCTTTTTGAACCAATATTTTTTTCTAATTTTTCTTCATTTTATTTTCTTTGCCCTTAAAAATGCCATTTTTAAAAATTTACTCTGCATGAGATGGGGAGGAGGCTCTCCATATATCTTATCCGTCCATGAAAAATAAATAATCCATAGAAAAAGCTATGCTCGCTAAGTGCGTTGCTTCTCTCATAAATCTGGTTTATTCGTATCACTTGGAATCGCTCCACAAATAAAACAACACAGAGTTGAGTTACTCACATTACAGAAAGCTGTTGCAACTTTACTAACCACCAAGATTATCTTGAGTCGATGTTCTATAAAAAATTAAATGGGTTGAAGTTTCTGTCTATTAATTTAGTTCAGCTTCTAAACAAGTACTTCTTTGTTCTGTGTAACATAACAAAATTTAAAACAGCTGCTCTTATTTTTATGAATTTAGTTTCAAAGGTGATGATGCACAAAATCTTGATGATCCTTTATCTTCACAATTAGTTTCAAATCGTGTATCACATGAGACAAGTAACACCGCAGTCGTCTGCCATCAGTCAAGATACAAAAAACTACTCAGGTAATCTTTGTAATTGGGGGCATTTAAATTCAAGTTTGAATAAAATTATTTCAATTTTGTTTAATTCATTATTTTTAGGAACAAAAATTTTATCCTTTCAACAACATTATATGGAATGTTTTCATTGACCACAGTTGGCTACGAAGATTTGTTTCCCTTGTTTGCTTCTACAAATATCAAATACAGTAACTTTTATTTAACACAGTGCCGTGACTAGGCTACCCCTCGTCCCCAATTGGCAGCAGGTTCAGCAAATTTAGGGGGCCCGTTTGCAATTTTATGGAGTTTTTTTTTCTTTGTAATACCTATTTGTAGGGTTTTAGGGTTTTGGTGGCCCTAATTACAGTTTTTTTTTCTCATTTAGAAGGATTAGGTATGAGCACATCAGACATTGGTTTATTATATTTGATTACTGGGTTTACAGTTATTATAATTCAGTTTTCAATTATTCCCAAGGTAAAATAATTATTTTTTATTGTTACTACAGGGCTAACTAATGATCCACATAGTGTGTCATAATGGTTTAAAACCATTATATATTGATTATGAAACAAGATAGCTGCGCTTGATTAAAATACCAATAAATAAACAAATTTTATAGTGTCTTAATTAAATTGAAATAAAAATAATTTCTAAAATAATAGTTTATTTAATCAAAAATATGTCTTCTCAGAAGATATACTAAAAAAAGTATGAGGTAATAATTATTTTAAATTTATAATTTCCAGCACAACTTTAAATTAGCAAGTTTTTCTCTAGCTGCATCTAAAGTTAGAAGTTTATCGATTAAGTTTTCAGTAGAAAAATTGCTAAATGTTTTAGTCTTATAGTTGCCATAGTATTTCGCTAAGTCTTTATTAAATTCGTTTTAGAAAACCTTGTTTCATTAAATTCAACAGAAATCTTCAAAGTTAAGTAAATTATTAAGGGCGTAGTAATGTTAAAATCTAATTCAATTGTTGTTTCTCAGTTATTTCATAATCAAAACTTGGAGTAATAAAATGTTTGTATTATTTCTAACAATTTCACAACGAATCAATTAAAAAATTTGGCGCCAAAAAGCTAAAAAATTGTGCTGACTCTATTGTAGATTTAACTCTTTTTCTAGTTTGAGATAAAAACAAATCAATAGTTTTTTTTTTATAAATGTTGTCAATGAAAACCTGTTATTAACCCTGGCGAAATCAGTATTTTAAATATGTCCAGGCATTTTTCCAGCAAAAAAATGGCTTTTCTTAAATTTATATTCTTATTTTGAAAAAATAAACTCGCTGTGTTAAATTATTTAATGATAAATATAAATAAGGAAATATTATGATAGAAATCGGTTTTTTTTATTTTCAAAGCTCCTTAAAGTTCTTTGTTTATTGAGAAGTCAAAATAATTTTGTCGATTGCTCTAAGTACATCTATAAAACTTGATTTAATAGCATGAAAAGATTTCCATCTTCCAGTTTTTTTTACAATATCACTTTCATCAGTAAAAGAAGAGAATATATCCCATCTCTTTACTTTTAAACCGAAAAATTTATACATTTCTAAAATTTGCTGTATAATGTCATTTCCAATAGATTCAAACTACGAGCCTTAAAATATATATAGTCGGTAGCACTCTTATTATCTATTGAACATCGTAATCTGTTACTTTAATTGCGCCGTCAAAGTCTTGCCCTATCATTTTATCAACTGAAATTTTATTTCCAAAGATTGTATCATTATGTTTTTAATACTTTTTGCATCCTTATCTTATTTCTTGAAAATCTCAAAATGACTTATCTTAAGATAGATGTTCATTGTCTTCAGTCTAACTGTAAACATATCTATCACTTCACTTAACATATACTTTTTAATTAAGTCAATTGTTGTATAAAATCGAGCAGATTTTATCATACTTCTAAGCCATTCAACGAGGTCTTCAGATTTTATATGTTGTATATTAAACAGGCTGATATAATTTTTTTGGTGAAAATTTTTTTTTCATCAAAAAACCTTTTTTATTATATTCATCTTGTACAACAAACATCCAACAAGGTTAAAAAGAAACAATATTTAATTTTATTAAACAGCTTAGCCGAACTCAAATTGATTTTCCCTTATCCTCATTTAATTGCGAACTGTTTAAAAAAAAAATACGTCGATGAAAGGATTGCTTATTCTGATTTGAATCACGTAGATAAAAATCAGAAAAAGTTCTCTTTATTTACTTATTTTTGCAGATTTTTTTATTTTTATTTTTTATGCTTAGGACCTAAATTGGTATTAATTTTCTTTTGACGGTCACAAACTGTCATACAAAACAATATTCTTAAAATTAAGATTTGCGTTTGACTTGTCCAATAGCTAAAATGCTTTACCATTGTTTAAAAATGCTTTGCCATTGTTTAAAAATGCTTTACCATTGTTTAAAAATGCTTTACCATTGTTTAAAAATGCTTTACCATTGTTTAAAAATGCTTTACCCTTGTTTAAAAATGCTTAACTTGTTCAATATTTGATCATTATCCTTTATTTTGTTTCTAAATAAGATCCTTATAATAATTAATTTACATTATTTAATTCGTCTTTTCCAATATTTAAGGCGAAAGTACGCACTGTGTATTCACTATTTTCAAAATTTTTCTTTATACCACAATTATTATTGTTATTATTATTACTACTATTATTATTGTTATTGTTGATGTTGTTATAATATTATAATATTTATAGCATACAATATTAATAATAATAATTTAGAATATAAATATTTATAACATAAATATTATAAAAACAATAGTTAATCTACAAATAAATGATTGAATAACGCTAATAACAATTTATAATTTACTGAGTTATATTTATTGTTTTATTTTTATTTGTTTTTTTTTTAATTTCATTTTATTCGGAAAGTTAAATAATAAATACTTAATTTGCAATTTGCGATACTTAAATTCTGAATTTCAAACGTTAAATCTTTATCTACTTAAATCACTAAGATTTTATAATAGCGTAAGGTCTTAAAAACACAAAACTAAAACATGTAAATAACCGCTAAAGTTCTTAGTTTAATAGTTTTGATTATTTGGTTCTTAGTTTAATAGTTTTGATTATTTATTCTCGAGCAGGTGGCTCATATCGTTTTTAATTTTATTATATGTTAAGTCGCCGACAAAAATCGTTCTTGCAAGTACCCTCCTTACAATTAATTTTAAGGTTGTAACTCTTAGACGTTTTACAGCGAGTTAACAAGATTGTATGTCATCTTGAGTTCCGCTTTATTTTTAGGAGGCTGGTAAATATAACACAATAAATTTCTTTCTTTTTTAAACCTAATTTCTCGATAAAATTACATCAACTGTATAACATAATGCGATGTTTGTGTGTCCAAAGATTTTGAGTTTTTTCGACTCTTAGTAACTACTCATCCATCTACTTGACTATTCTTTTCTAAATCTATTTTTGTAAAAAAGTTTGGATTGAAATTTCCACATTACCGAATTTCACTAATATATTGTTTTAGATTAAAACTGTATTAGATTTTAATCAAAATTAGCCAAGGCCTGTATTTCTTTTTTTCGGTATTAGTTGCAATATCTACGCATTTACATTCGGTTGTGAATTCAAACTTCATTTTTAAAACAGGTGTTATTTTATATATTTCCGACAAAAAAAGGCATATATATATATATATATATATATATATATATATATATATATATATATATATATATATATATATATATATATATATATATATATATATATATATATATATATATATATATATATATATATATATATATATATATTATATGAATATGCTTAAATATTACTTTCTCATGACTTATGAAAGAAAAAGTTTCGAGTAAAACTTTAAATTTTTCTTTTTAGATAATTGCTAAATTTGGTTTAAAGAAGGTTCAAAATTTTGATTCTTGATGCCAGTTGTCTTGCATTTAACATGAGACTTTTATAAACAAGTTAATTGATTTCTGTTTTCAATTTTTTATAATTTAGGTGTTTTCAGTAACAACATTACTCTTTAGCATTCTTGTGTTTTTGCTTCCAACCATGGCGAAGATAAAAACTAAGTAAAGTTTTTGTTTTTAGTAAAACAATGTTGTTATGTATAACATAACAACATAACAACATAACAACATAATAACATAACAACATGACAACATAACAGCATAACAACATAACATCATAACAACATAACAAAATAACAACATAACAACATAACAACATAACAACATAACAACATAAGTAAAAGTTTACTTAAAATTTTAATTTTAGTGAAATCCTTCAGATTTTTTTTTTAATTTAAAATTTTTTTTTTTTTAAATAGTTAATATAAAATAATAAACTAACTGATCGTAAACACTTGAAAGAATAAAAATAAAAAAACCTTTAAAAAATAATTTAAAACATTCCTAATGCCACTGACAACGAGTTTAAAAGTTAATTAAATATTGTCTACATAGAGATGTAGAAAAAATGTGCATTTGTTATTAATTTCTTTGACTTAAAACAAAAAGTATTTTCCAAATATACGTTTTCAAATACACTTTTTGATGCAGTTTATTTGTTTCAGAACAGGATTGTGGATATCTTTATGGATAACTCAATGCTTAATAAGATCTATGTACAATGCAGGAGTACTCTGTGTTAACATATTCATAAATAACTCGGTTGACTATAAACAACTCGGAACAGCAAATGGAGTAGGCTTATCAGTAGCTTCAATAGGGAGGTAGTATTTGATATTTTTGTTATTTTTATTTCAATCTGCTATTTTAAAATACAGTTTTATTGTACTCAACAATATAATTTAATACAGGCTTCGGCAAAAAATTATTGATCCTCGTAAATTGAATTACTAAACTGACTAACTACATTTGAGTGTCTGGTCTCCAAACTTTTTTTTCAATGTGAGTTTTTTTTATGTGTAATAATATTAAAACTCACCAAAATATTTTAAATATTCTTTACTATGTTGTTAGGTTGTCTATACAACACAGTTTTACTAAAAACTAAAGCATTAGTCAGTTTTTATTTTGGTGTATAGGCTCACTTAAATAAATAATACTTGTAATTTTTTGACGCAAACACACATTGCTTCGAGGTAGCACAGTTATGCTTTTGTGTAAATTGCAGCTTTTGCTATTTTTCAATATTTAAAAAAATGTTACTTTCAGTTTTTTAATACTCATTTACAAACCTTAAATATTTTAGTATTCACTAATAGGTAAATTATTACAGTTTAAAACATTGGAGTGAAAAAAAAAACATTTAGGGGTCATGCAGTTTCAAGTTTGAATGTTTTGTCAATATATTGTTATCTTATTTTTGGATTCTTGCTGCAGATCGTAGAGTTGTCAGTATGAGTGAAAACCACCTAAAAATTTACGTGAAATACTCATAAACTCAATAAAAAAATGTAGCCATCAGTTAGCGACCGATTATTTTTAAATTTAGAGTAACCTTTTTTTATTATAACTTTTCACAGGACTAATACATCTTGTACTTTGTATTAGAAGTAAAATATGGACCCACTGCAATATTTTATTTGAGTAAGATAACTTGCGTAAAACACCCATTTAACTACTAGATGGCCACAAATTTGGATCTATTATTTTTGCATTTTATATTATAAAAGTTGAATTAAACAACCTTTTAATGTGATGCACTCAGTGGTTTCAACTTCTACGGAAGTTTACATCATTGTTTTTTTTAAAGCATGGTTATGCTTTTGTTAGTTTCAAAGCTGAAGTCTAATGAAAAATTGGTACGTTTAACAATTTAAATGCGATAACAAGATCGTTTTTGGTCTTATTATTAAATTAATGATTTATCGACCATAATGGATCTATTTAATCGACAAAGTACTCCTTTCTGAATTTGAAATTTTTGTGCATCAACTTTATGGCCATCGCTAACGGTGCTTGACTAGACATGTGCAAGAACTTTGAATGCTTTGCTTTGGAAGTTAAAAAGTTCTTTTTTTTTTCAAGTTATAGTTGACTGTTTTTCCACTCGAGGTTAATGCATGAAAGCAAGAATATAATAATTATATTTATCTGTACTTATTAGTCTAAAGATAGTAAAGTAAAAGAAAAAGCTCTGCTTTCGAAATGCAATCATGTAAAAAATCAAGCGTATAAACTTATTTAAAAAAAATCGAAACTTTACTCTTTTACATTAAGAAAAGTATGTTAGATTTTTAATAGTTTTAAATAATTCTTATTTTTTTTTTTAATGTTTTTAGATCTCTAGGTTCATTGAGGTTTGGAATGGCTTATTCGTGATCGCTAAGTAATGATAAACATTTAATTGGTTATGGCTTTCCATTCAACGAGTATTTTACTTTTATTCTTATATCATTTTCCTCCCTCATTGTGATGATTATTGCTAGATTACTTCCTGAAACTATAAACAAGAAAAAAAGTGAACAAAAAACTAAAAAAGAAATCAGTTAGAACAAACATTGCCATATAATTTAACATATTATTAGTATTTTTATAATTTTTTTGTTGTTGTTGTTTTGTCTTTGTTTTTGTTGCAAACTGCATTTAGTTAAAACTGCGTTTAACTTTTATAATAAGAGTTTAACTATTTTTAAATTTTTATTTAAGACAAATTTATAAAAATATTTGTTTAATAATTTTTTTTTAAACAAGTATATAAATACCTTAGATATACTACGGTATATTTTACAGACCGTGCATATACGAATACTACTATCCATTTTGCAGACCATGTAAAACAAATCGCTGTTGTTTAGCGTGTTCGCATTGTCGGCGCAGATCTGCGCAGACATGCGCAGATCTGCGCAGACATTGTAATTTGTCTACGCAGACGTCGGCGCCGACAAAATTTATTGTTACTGCTAAAATATACTAAGGTTCGTCTCTCGGCGCAGATCTGCGCAGATATTATTATTACTGACGAGTTATTGAAATCAACAAAAAAGTTTTAAACTTAAAAAATGTTTTAAGTAATTTTTTAACTTTATTATAAATTCAGTGATTAGTAACAATAGGAGTTTTCAAAGATTCTTACAGTAATAAAAATATATAATGCTGGCGCCTATTCGGTGGTTTCTTGACATTCAATTTCATTGAGAATTGCACCTTCTTCAAGAATGTAATCAGTCTTGTCATTTGTATCCATCAGCACGCTATTGGTATACAAGAACACTAGCTTTTCAACTCTCTCATTCGTAAGACGATTTCTTAGTCGCGAGTGAATAAATCGAAAGGTCAACCAAGCTCTTTCTGCTGTAGCCAATGAGCAGATCATTTCGTTAATAGGCTTAGCAATTTCATAAAGAGCAGGATATTTATCGCGACCGATAATGTTCCAATAATTTCGCGAGTTCATCTTGAATATTGTTTCCTTTCTTCTCTCAGGCAGAGCAGAAATTTCTCCTATATAAGCAATCAATTCATCCTCAGCAGTTCAGCAATTTCAGGTTTGATCTTTTTGGCGAATTCAACTGCAGTGATAAAATCGGTTTTATCTTCATTCAAATATAAACCTTCTGCGGCATTTTTTGGCGTTAATATGAAAGCAATTCCAATACATGGTGTAAAGAGAAAATCGAGGCGAAATTGCACTTTTTGTTGTATGTCTTTATCGTGCATATATGAATGGTACATTTGACCAAAGTAATCATACACGAGGACAATGGAGCTAAATCACTTTCTAGCTTTCCGATCACGTTGGAAAGAAATTTAATGCTTTTGACAAGCTTAGAGAGACGGTCCCAAAATGGGTTAGATTTTATCAACGCCATAACAGCAGCAGATGTATTCTTTGGTTGAATTTCCTTCAGTAATGGACTTTTTTCGTCTACCAACTTAATAAGAACGTATTTTGATAGCTGGAGACTGCTCAGCGTTGTTGCCTATGAAACTGGTAAATTTTTGTGAGCCAATCTTCTCAATAACTAGTAAGATTGCTGCAGCAACTGCAGATAAATTTTGAATGATTCCGGATGTATTTATCGAGGTGTAAAAAAAAGGCTTCTGCTCGGGCGCTTTAATACAAAAAGTCACGATGTGATCGCCTCTTATGTTCGTCCAGCCGTCAGACACCAGTGTTAAGTTTGTTTTAGAATTCAAAATTCATCTGCAGTTGCTTTCATTTACATAAATAGAACATTTTGCGTATTGTTTGTCAAGCAGAGATCCTGATAAGGCTTTAGCTTTCGGGATGACAGATGCGTACGATGGATTGAGCGACTTCACAAAATCCTTAAAGACCTCCGATTCCACTAAACAAAATGATATACCCGTACGGTAAAAGAAATTTGCAAACTTCGTGTCGATATCATTTTTAAGCTCTTCATTAATCGGTGGATGTACACGCTGCATTGGTGAATCAGACGTAGACGGAAGTTGCTGAGAATCATTGATCAAATGTGACGATTCATAATTACGCTTAGAAAACAATCTTTTTCCCTCGACACTGGCGTTTTGACATGTTGATTTTTTATGCGCTGCAAGGCGTTCCTTCGACCATTGAACAGTTTTGTTTCATGCTAAACAAGTGCCAGAACGCTTCCCTCGATCAAGATTTGTCAAATAATTTGAAATTTTGATGTTTTCCATTTTAAACATTTGTTATGACGAAAATACGCGATTTCTTTATTTTAAATCACTTTAAATTGTAGTAAGAAACACTTTAAAAAGTTTATATCGATTGATTATATGTAGCTCGAACAAAAAAGAAACAGACATGTAATGAAAAACTCGAAAAAAGTAGATAATTACCTACTTTTTACGAGTTTTTCAAAATGTCTGAAATTATTTTATTAAATATTGTCTGAAATTAAATTTTAAAAAATAATTAAACTCAGGCATTTGATTCAGATAATTAAATTATCTGAATCAAATGTCTGAAGTAATTTTTTTATCATAATTTAAATTTTTCATATCCTTTAAACTGTCTTCGCAGACGTCGGCGTGACGTATGCGCAGATATGCGCATATTATGTCTGCGCAGATCTGCGCAGATGCACTTGCCGAACCCTAGTAAAAATGATACTATAGAAGAAAAATGTTGCAAAATTTCATAAGTATATATTGTACTAGGTACTTATGTATATATATATATATTAATTATCTAGTACAACAAAATCTTATTATGTTAATGAATAATAATGAAATCTTATTATGATAATGATGTATCTGCAACGCATCAACATTTGATAATTTTGACTTCGCACACAGAGACACCATCATTTGGCTTTCTAAATTCTTATACACAATCTTTTGGACAACCTTGAAGTGCGTTTGTATGTACCTAGTGCTGTCCTATTCTTATTTTTTCGCTTATTTATTAATTAATTAACAATTAAGATTTGTGTAATTGTAAGATACATTTAAGTAACAAGATTCAGTGATCATATAGATGCGAGTAAGATGCAAGACGTATTTGTTTATTAAGAATATGATGATATTATTGCTTTCGCTAGAGTCATGTGATTCAGAAGTACTAATATTTTAATTCAAGCCATAAAGACAATAACTAAAGAAAAGTTTAAAATTTGTATTTATAAATTTTTGTTTTTTCTAAATACAAAAATTTATAAATTATTCTAAATATTTCCATATATTCTAAAATCTAAATTAAGTTCAAAGCTCTTCAACAGCGGTTCTCGGTGACAAGATCTGTACGGTCTTCTTTGAGTATCCGCGTTCTTTATCTTTATTCTTTATTTTTTACGGTTTCTTTGCATGTAATTTTTCTTATTGATATATTTGTAAATATTGTATTAAATATTGTAATAAAGAACAAAAAAAAAAAAATAATAATAAAAAAAAAAATAAAAAAAAAATAAAATAAAAAAAAAAAAAAACATAAAAATGAATTTAAGGTTATTATGTTTAATGATTGATATTAAAAAACAAGATGAAAGTTTTCATACTCTTTAGCAGATGAATTTAAAAAAAAAGGTCAAGGCAAATAATGCCTAAATTAACTATATGTACTTTACAACTTTTTTAGAAAAAGTAACTTTAGTTAAAATGTAAAAAATGTTAAACTCAATCACTATGAAAATGATGCTAATTTTCCTTTGGTATATATTAGCTTGTGATAATTGTGTATATATTAGCTTGTGATTGTGTTATTTAATCATGATTAACCAACATGTAGCGAGAATTTGGGACAAAACGGATTTTGAAATGAGGGGGGGGGTGCACGTGCTCCCTAGGCGACTCCCTTCCCCCTATGTGTCGTCGGCGCTGATATTGAACTAAATTGATATAATATAAAATTGAAATAATAAGTTTTGAAACCGATTAGTTCAAATCAAACAAACTTTTTCTAAACATTGAAAAAATCAAATGGGTTCTCTGTATATTCAGATTCAAATACATTCTGCATAAAAATATTTTAGATATCATTAAAGATAAAAATCTTTTATAAAAATGTAAGTTTATTGCATAACTTACCACAGTAGCAATTTATGCAATAAAATTACAAAAAGAACTGGAATTCTTTAAAAATTGAAAAAAATTTTAATAAGACATTCATTCAAATATATATTATTTTATGATTCTCCTTCACATTAGTTATGGTAATGATGCCTGAGAAATTGTATCACGTTTTATTTGTTTAAAAGATTGCATTACTAATGCAAAGCCTTTCTTATTTATTTTGAACGATTAAATTAACAAATAAAACACATCCTTAATCAGAAAAAGAAATATAATGTTCATAAAATGTCAACAGTTGTTATTGATCATTGGTTCTAAGGCTTCTATCATTTTTGGTATAAAACCGTCAACATAGTAGGATTGCTTGCCACAAACTGATTTTAAAACATCATTCCAAATAGGGCACTGCGTTTAGTTAAAATACAACATCTTCCTTTACACTGACATTGATTGTTGAATTTGATAAATTGTTCTTTTATTATTGCCCTTTTTTTTCCCCACCTGCTTCTTCTCGTATTTTTTCTTTTTTTCGTATTCTCTTTCAAAAACTTTTTCCCCCTCCTTTAATCCATGTTCAAGTTTTTTTCTGTAATAATCACGAGCCTGTTTTAACATTGTGAGGGGATGAAACAATTTGGACTTTTTGTACAGAGCATCGTTTTGGGGTCTGAGAAGACTGAATAGTTGCCAAACATCTCGCTGCTTGTTCAAATTTATCACCTTGTAGACTTGATAAAGTCTAGAAGACTTTTACCCTGATAAAGTCTAGAAGAAATTTATAAACATTTATACTTGACTCTGCAATACCAATCACTGCTTTGGTAAAAGATTCTTTTATTGTCCATGATGACCATATTGCTCCAAATAACTCCATAAACCCAGAGCGATCAATTGTTATCATACTAGAAAACAGTTTAAATTTACGTTGGTGATATTGATGGTGTAAACTAAGATTTACATATTTTTATTGTGTCTGGCGGACCAACAAAGAAACGAACTTTTTTACAACAATAATGAAGGACACTTACGTCAAACCTTGAAGAGTGGGCGTAAGTAATACAATAGTAATATTATCTCTGTTTTTGCGGATCATTTGATAGTAACTGTGACCCTTTTCAGCAAATACCAATCCACTTGTACTTCCGTTAACTCCAAAGTTTACAAACTGTAGAGTTTTATCATGACTAAGCATGTCTTTAGTATCTATTATACCGTACTACACTCTTTGAAAGAGTGCGGTACGGTATAATAGAACTTCACGGTAATAGAACGGTATAATAAAACTTCAGAAAGAGTCTCTTTCTGAAGTTTTTTTATTGCTCTTCATTAAAACTGTCATTTTAATTTCTTCGGCTAGTTCATTTAAATGACTTTCACTCATTTCTTTAGTGCAGTTTAAAGCACAGTTCATAGTAAGACTCCCTTGTCTGTTTTAAATTAGATTGTCGCTTTGCCATGAATCTTGACCAGAATGAAAGCGATAGTTTATTTGTGAGTATTGCTTTTTCTGCTTTAGGTGAAAGCTTGCGGTATAAACAATGATTTTTCAGGTTTTTATTAGCATACATAAGATACTTTATTATATTTATAATAACTGTGAACACTTCTTTTTTTATAATACCTTATAGATATCTGTTTTATTTTTTGTATACTATACTTTATACTGCATTCTCCTTATCCTTTGTCAAAATTAAAAAATTGATTTTTACTTTCATTAATTTTAGTACCATCTAAAATGCGATTTATAGTTCTAGAATCAACATTATAACCAGCTTGTTTAACAGATTTGTAGCCTAGAGTTGTTGTTTTTTTTTACAATAATACAACAGCATTTGCTAAAATGTTCCATTTCATTTTATTTCGTCTCTGCATGAAGCTGCTTGATATTTTGTTTTATGTCTTAACTTAAGATTGAACTTTGGTCTCATTTTAATATACTTTAACTGTAAAAACAAAAATAATTTAAATATATGAATAATTTAAAATATAACTTTTCAATGTTTTAAAGAATTTTACCTTTATTTTAAGGTACAAAAAACCTACATTTTAAAGTATAGCTGAAAATCTGAAAGTCATTTATACAATCTATTTTATTGAATTTAACATAAAACAATTAAGGCATAATCATACAAAACTTTAACAGAAATAAAAAAAAGTTATTCCAAAGATACTGCCATAAAATAAAACCTACATTTTATAGATCACGAGGTAAAATAGGCCTTATTTTGTGGAGCTGTTGCTGATTCATTAATGAGTGTAAATTTAACAAGTACCCCAAGGGAATTTAAATGACTATATAAGGTATGTTCAAATTCTAAAGATTAGTTTTCAGTTATTGTTACAAAAATTTTTATGGCGATTCAAAATATCCCCTAGATTTTAAGGTACAAATACCTGCACATGTTTTTATGATAAGTATAGCGCTTAAAGCATACCTAGGCTCAGATTTTGTTAAAAAATAATCATGGAGAAGCATATTGTTGAGCCTTGATATTTTAAATAGTTTTAGAAAAATTTAATTGAAATAGCGTATTTTTTTAAAACTTAAACCATTTAAATCAGTAAAAGAAAAATTTACCATGTTTATGTTTTGCAACGCAATGAAATCATGAATTCAAGATTTTATTGCGTAGTAAAACACAAAAATTTCTATTTAGAACTTAAGAACGTAAATTTAAAGATAATGTTTATCTAAATACTTGGGGGAAAAGTGTAACACCGCTCTCTCTCTTTCTATCTCTCTCTCTCTCTCTCTCTTTCTCTTTCTCTCTCTCTCTCTCTCTCTCTCTCTCTCTCTCTCTCTCTCTCTCTCTTTCTCTCTTTCTCTCTCTCTCTCACACACACTCTTTTATTCAAATACTGTAAAAAATAGTAATAACAATGTCAAAAAAAATCAAAGAGACAGCAGCGTACACTGGCAACATTTGGTTTCACTTAAAAGGTAATGCACAGAGAAAAAGAGATTGCAATAACTACAATGTGACCGCCATCCATAATTGATCTTTCCAGTAATCAACCCAAACGAAAATCACGGTGTCTTTCAACCGGTTAAAAAGGATAATGCTGTAAATAAGAATATCAATAAGTTTCGTCCTGATGATTGTCCCGTGGAGAACGAAAACAAAGTTCTTAACTTTCTTTTTTTTTAATGTTTATTGTTAAATTTAATGTTATATTACAAGTTAATGTTAATTTTTGCTTGTTACAACATCGTTTTTTTAGAAAATTTTAAAATTTTTTAAAAATGTGTTACTAATTATTTAAAAAATATTGAAATAAGCATCTTATTAGAAATATGTTTAAGCATATTTTGAAGCCTCTTAGAGCATTTTGCATACGCATTGCCGAGTCTGCTTTGAAAATTTATATATTTATATAAAAAAAAAACAACATGTATTGATATTTATATTTTGTCAAGCCTATATCTATGTTTTTATCTTGCTATTCTAACATTTTGCATGATTTTATAATGCAATGTCGTATCAAAATTGATTATCTAGATAGAGCCTTGAAGAGGAAGGGGCACTGAGGGCTCATTGACAGGGGCGCCGAGCTCAAAGGGACGCCGAATAACACATTTGAGTTTTTTTTCGTACATTAAATAGAAAATGACTGACAATGTGAAACCTGCTTAGTTTTTGTACTTGAGCTTTAAACTTAAGTAAATAAAACCTTTGCTTGTATTCTCTTATTATAAGTTATTAAATGTCTAATCAGAAAAAAAGCGATTTTTTTTACAAATAATTATGATTCAATAGTAATTTGATTACAGTTGATTGTGTTCCGTAAGCCCATCAATAACTAGTCAAGTTAGCTAATGCTTAATTGTGTGTAAGGTGACCGGTTCCTTTTCGAGAACAAGTATTGAAAATCTCTGAAATAGCTTGAAAATTGGGTTGTTTTTGTAAGAAAGTCATAAATGCTATTAATTAATTTATTAATACTTTATCAAACAAAAAACTGGCAAGCTTGTCTATCTGGCAACAAAAAACACGTCCCAAGAACGAAAGACAACTTACGTAGAAAACGAAACTGTTGTCCTTACTGCTAAGCTAAATCCGTTTTTTTGACACGCAAAAAAAAATTAAGGAACAAATTGCTTAAAATTTAGAGCTTAATCTGTCTATCAGCGCTCTAAAAAGTTGCTAAAGCAAAAACAAACTACTAGAAAGGGTTGCTCAACAAAAGCCATTAGTCTTAAAACGTAATCTTAAAACGTAGTCAGTCGTTTGAAGTTTGCAAATAGTACACAATAAATTATGTTTTTGGAAAAATTTGCTTTGGATTGAGTTTAAGTTAAACACTTTCGAATCAATCAAAAATATTAAGTTTGTTGTCCCCAAACCAAAACCAAGAATTCAGCCCTCTGTATACTCTAAAGACCGTAAAACATAGTGTTGGCAATATAATTGTTTGGGGCAGTTTTTATGGTATGGCATGGGCTTATTCCATAGAGTTCATAGAAAAATGGATCAACAGACCTACAAAAAAATACTAGAAAAATCATTGTTATATCCTGAGGAAAATCTTCCTTTGGTTTAGAAATTGCAACTAGACAACAATCCCAAGCACTCCTCTAAATATTTAAAGCCAACCGCTAAAAAGTGTGGTTTAACGCTAACAAGAGCGATGTTTTGAAGAGGCTCGCATAACCCCCAGACTATCTAAATCCAATAGAATTGTGTGGGAGCAAGTCAACAGAAGCATAAATTGGTCAACTGAAAATATAGAACAAAATTAGATTAAAATAAAAGTTGCTTGGGACGCCACTACGCCTGAACGAGGGAAAAAATCGATCTGGTCAATGGGCAATCGTTGTCAAGCAGTTATTCACTCAAAAGGATAACCCACTAAATATTATTTTAGAGCAATTAAAATTTTTTTAAACTAAATGTTTACAAAAAATTAACACTTTTATTTTGTTAAAAGTATTACTTAGTACTAAAAAAATGTTGAATTTTTTTTTTTAATTCGTTTAATTTTTATTTATTCTTTTATACAACAAAATAAAAATTCTTACTATTATTAGCATAAACAATATATACATACTTTATAAATATGCGTTATATATATATATATATATATATATATATATATATATATATATATATATATATATATATATATATATATATATATATATATATATATACATATACATATATATGTATAAAACTATTTCAAATTTTCATTAAAAGCTTTCTTTCGGTTTATACTTTCTGGCAGCAATGAAGTGACAATCAAAACAAGTATTGAAAAAAACGCTATTAGTATAAATGTAAAATATTCATTGAACGGAAAACCGAGACTGCTTTCTGAAGTGAAATGTTTTTTGACATTGCTCAAAGACCACGAATAAGCCAGTCCAAAGCTTACGGAACCGATAGATCTAAACAAATTTATATTTAAAACTATTTTATACACTTTTATAAAAATTAAATTAATTATAAAAAATATTTTATAAATTATACTTATCAAATAATTTTTTTATGGTCTTAAAAAAAACCAATTTATTTGAGCAACTGTGACGTAATAGTTTGCGTGTTTACTTCAAAATCCTAAGGACCCGTGGTTCTTTCTGGTTATAAAAACAAAATCGGTGAGGGAGACCACAGCAAGACGTAGGTCTTTTTGGAGTTCCATAAAAAACCAAGAAAACTCTTAAACAAATAAACACATCTATTACACACAAGGATGTTTCCAAGAATGTAAATATTTTGTTTTCCAGAAATGGAAAAAAAAAAATCAAATGTTTGAGTTTAATCTGCATATTTTAAAATAAGTGTTTTGAAAAAGTGCGAAGAAATCAGAATCAGAAGAAAGTTAGCTCAAGTGAAGATTTGAAAGTATTAGGTTCTTTGTAGCATGCGCTTTAATTAAAAAATCAGTGTGTTTAAACATTAAAACTCAAGAATATTATAGCAAAAACCGATTGATGGTAGGAATTTTAAAACCGAAGATATTAAAATAATTTGCACCAAGACATATCTGCAAACTATAGAATCTGAAACTTATGTATTAAATTAACTTTATTGTTTGAATGTCGTAGAGTGTCAAATAGAAAATAACTTCAGAGATTTTTTTTTTTTTTTTTTAATTTGCATTCACTCCCAACAAGGCTGCAAGCAACCACTATTAAGTTGGGAGTTACTAGGAAAAAAAAAAAGAACAGAGTTATAGAGCAAGGAAACGGTTGACAGAAGACTTGAAAAGTTGAAGGTTGTATGAGTCAGGAAAACATGAAGATAGGAGAGAGTTCTAAAGGATTGAAGTGCGGGGAAAAAAACAAGATGAATAAAAGTTTTTAGAGCATGCAGGGACAGATACAGTAAACGAATGAGACTTAGCTGAATGACGAGTAAAACGAGAATGAATTTTAGTTGATGGAACTAGAGATGATAACTCCTTTGAGCAGTGACCATGATAGTATTTGTAGAAAAGAGAAAGAGAGCAACTTTACGACGATGGGAAAGAGGCTCAAGCTTAGCAGATAGTCCAGGTCCAACAACATTTAAAATGCGTTTTTGGACCTTGTCAAGTAGAGAAAGTGAATTGTTAGAAGAACCAGCCCAAATATGACAACAGTATTCCACACAGGGACAAATAAGAGATTTGTAGAGGTAGAGAATGCAATCAGAAGTAAGGAAATGGCGAGCACGATAAAGAGAAGCAACCTTAGCAGAAGCTAATTTAGCAATCAATTGTATATATGGTTTTCATGAACGGTCAGTAGTAAGCGATAATCCAAGAAGACGTAAAGAGGAGGACTCAGTAAGAGAATTGCCATTCATTAATATAGGAATGTTGACCATATTACGGTAGTTGTTTGCAGTAAACAACTGGGTTTTGTTAGAGTTGAAATTCACAAGCCACTGTGAACCCCAATCTATTACTGAAGTGAGATCAGATTCAAGATCAGCTGCTTGTTCTAGGCGATCGAAAAGAGAAGACTTTTTGTCAAGACAGGAGAATAAAGTTGAGTCATCAGCAAAAAGAGCTACTTTAGATGAAAGGTTGTCAGGAAGATCGTTTATGTAGATAAGAAACAAAACAGGGCCCAGGATGGAACCTTGAGGAACCCCAGAAGTTACTGGAAATAAAGAAGAGTGTTGGCCTTCAAGGATGACTTTAATAAACCGGTTAGAAAGAAATGATTTGATAATCTCAAAAACTTTCCCAGAAACACCATATGAAGCAAGCTTATAGAGAAGACCAGCATGCCAAACTTTGTCGAAAGCTTTAGATATGTCAAGAGCAATAGCCCTAGCCTCACCGCCTCCATCTAATGCACGATAAAATCTTTCAGTTACAGCAGTTAGCAAGTCAGCCGTAGAGCGAGAGGATCGAAAACCGTATTGATTGTCAGCCAGCAGTTTATTTGACTCAAGATGAGATGTGAGGAATTTGTTGATCAAAGACTCAAAGACCTTGCTAATAACAGAAAGAAGACTGATCGGACGATAATTGGGGTCAGAATTTTCTCCAGAGTTTTTGAATATTGGAACCACAGATGCCATTTTCCAACAAGCAGGAAAACAAGACTCAGTCAAACACTTGTTAAATAGTTTAGAGAGAACTGAAGAAAGTTCTGGAGAACAATTCTGCAAGACTGTGACAGGAATGTTGTCTGGACCACAAGCTGTAGACGAGTTTAATTGAGATATGAATTTAGCAACAGAAGCCGGAGTGATTTGAATGTCTAACAATGGGTCAACCTGTTTGACTGGAATGGAAGGAAGAGAATGTCCATAAGATTCAAGAGTGGAATTAGAAGAAAAGTTCTTTGCAAATAGTTCTGCCTTATCCTTGGGAGAGGTAATAAGATCAGTCCCATGATTGAGAGATGGAATGTTAGATCTACCCTTGTTAACAATGCTGTTGAAGATTTTCCAAAAGTCTTTAGAGCCTAACTTCTGCGATAAGATGCGAGATTTAGTGAACTGAGAATAATGGAGTTTAGCATCAGAAAGCACCTTTTTACATCGATTTCTTGCAATAATAAATAGCCGTTTGTGTAGTGCGATGATAAGGTGAGCCCAATAAAGAAGTACGAGAAGAAAAATTTATAGAGATCATTGCATGGTCAGAACCACCTAAGGGAGAAAAGGGAGAAACTGAACATAAGATAGGGTCAGAGACAAGACATAAGTCAAGGAGTGAAGGTAAATGATTAGGGTTGTCAGGAAAACGAGTAACAAAGTTAACTATCTGAGTAAGAGATTGAGAAACGCAGAAGTTAAAGGCTTTAGTGCCAGCAGGATCAGTGGTGTTAGAGCCAAGCCATTCAGTGTGATGGGCATTAAAATCACCAACAACAACAATATTGGCTGAGGGGTAAAGAGAGAGGGCATGGTCAATTTGATCAGAGATAACATCTAAAAGAGTGCAATCATGGGAAGAAGGAGAGCGATAAAGAACAAAGAGAAAGGTGATAGAGTGAAGAGGTGCTAGGCAAAAGCACATAAAAGAATGGTCAAAGGATTCGAACCTGATATAATACAATAAAAAAGGGAGGAAGAGGAAGGGTAAAAAATGAAGTGGTAAAAACAAAAGAAAACGGGAACTTTTTATCAGATCTAATCAACAGAGGGGGTGGAAGAACAACAGAGGGGGTGGAAGAACAACAGAGGGGGTGGAAGAACAACAGAGGGGGTGGAAGAACAACAGAGGGGGTGGAAGAACAACAGAGGGGGTGGAAGAACAACAGAGGGGGTGGAAGAAATAATTTTAGACACTTTCTAAAGCTTTTTTTTATCAGTTAGATAAAAAAAAAGCAACTTCTTATTTGGCAATAAGTCGTAATTAATAATCAATATAATAATATATAAACTAATATATTAATAAATTATTTCATTCTTATTTTGCTTTTAAAACAAAAACAGTTATGTAAAACTTTCGTTAAAAAAGTTGATTCCTCAAAGATATTTTCTTTGAATAAAAAATATAATACAGACAACGTGGTTAATTAAGTTTATAAATATTTAATTTTTAAGCGACTGATCTGAAGTGACGGATCTTTTGTAAAGATCATTCAATATTTAAAAAAATGTCACAGAGCATTTTAAAAATGTCAAAATATTTAGTGGAGCAATCAATCAAAATACAATGTTTGGATCTGATGGCAATAAGGCATGTCAGGCATCCTAATTTTATTCGAATAAAAAATCTATAGAAGAAAGTCTATGACAAATTTAAAGGTCAGACTATAAAAAACAAAGATAAATTATGGAAATTAGTTGAGGACACTTAGTATTCATTTCCTTTCAAACTTTACACTAGCTTGTAGATTCTAAAAGATGTGCAGAAGTGAATAAGTTTTTTAAAATCTAAAGTTATTAAACTTTGTTTGGCGCTATCAGCACAAATATGTCACTATCAGCAAAACCTAACAAACCACCTGCATTATGTTTTTTCTCTATTTTGAAAAAACCATTCACCTACTTTAAAACGTGACATTTTAATGCAATCAATATTTATAAGTCAATCTAACTCACAAAATCTATAAGTCAAAATGGATCCTAAAAATGTTACATATAGCGCTGTTGGTTAGAACGCAAGTTTTTCACTTTTTTTTTGTATTCATAGATTTCTATATAAAGTCAATTATTAGTATACTTAAAACAGCACTTTAAATATTTGACTTGATAATATTTGAAAATAATATTACTTATGATTTTCAAAATGCTTCAAGAGACTAACAAAACATATTCTAAACCATATTTTTAGACTTTTGTTAGTATAATTTTGTAAACATTTTGCCACAATTTATTTTTACACTAATTTATTTTTTACTTCCAAATTGAAATAAACACTATTTTAAAAATTGTGAACTTTCTTGATGTAACATTTAAATTCTCCGAAAATTCTTATAAACCTTGTAAAAAAAAACCTTGTGAAAAACATAATGATGGTTTATTGTATATTAATATAAAGTTAAATCACCCGCCTCAAATCTTCTTCAATTAAAAATATACTAAATCAAAACTTTTCTAATGAAAATTTGTTTAACTATTATGATGAACCTGCTAAAGATGTGAAACAGACTGTAGAAGAAATTTTGATAAGTGTTTTAACCAATTTATTAGCACTCTGTTCTTTACAATACACTTAACTTAACTAATATGAAAATAATATAATATGAATAATATGAAAAGAATACATCTTAACTTAATTATATGAAAAAATAAAACTTTTGCATGGAACTTACAGTTTTATGCCTTTTGGCAATCATCAGCCATATTATTCAAAAATATAAAATAAAAACCACTATAAAAAATACAAGATTAGTGTTGCAACGGCATGTGTCATTAAACACACGATTCGATATTTGCTAATCGCCAGAATCAAAATGAACATTAAATATGTTCCACTTAGTTATGGGCATGTTTATGCATCTTTATGTTTCCATATATTTATATATATATATATATATATATATATATATATATATATATATATATATATATATATATATATTTATATATATATATATATATATATATATACATATACATATACATATATATATATATATATATATATATATATATATATATATATATATATATATATATATATATATATATATATATATATATATATATATATATATATATATATATATATATATATATATATATATATATGAACATTAAATAAACAAATGAACATTAAATATGTTCCACTTAGTTATGGGCATGTTTATGCATCTTTATGTTTCCATATATATATATATATATATATATATATATATATATATATATATATATATATATATATATATATATATATATATATATATATATATATATATATATATTTATATATATATATATATATATATACATATATATATATATATATATATATATATATATATATATATATATATATATACATATATATATATATATATATATATATATATATATATATATATATATATATATATATGAACATTAAATAAACAAATGAACATTAAATATGTTCCACTTAGTTATGGGCATGTTTATGCATCTTTATGTTTCCATATATTTATATATATATATATATATATATATATATATATATATATATATATATATATATATATATATATATATATATATATATATATATATATATATATATATATATATATATATCTATATCTATATCTATATATATATATATATATATATATATATATATATATATATATATATATATATATATATTTATATATATATATATATATATGGCTATATCAAGATCATTAGTTATTTCATTTTTAACTATATGACCAAGATATTTAAAAGATTCAACAAAAGCAATTTGACAGCCTGTTACCCCATCACACATAGATATTGATATAGCTGTCAATAATCAAAAAATTGAGTTTTATGTTAGATGCTTGATTTTCCAATAAATATCAGCGTTCACGCCCAATTGAAAATTTACCTATTAAGTTTATTAATCTGTTAAAAAATTAATGTAGCATTGGTCACACATGTGCCACAAATGTATGATATATTGATTGTAATGTTTGCTTGCAATACTTTTTGGCATATTATTTGTCCTGTTTTTAAATATTTACCTTTATATAAAAAAATAGCCATAAAATTTATAACTTCATAAAAAAGTCTGAAATTAAAAAATCTAGTAAATTTTATGCTTAAACTTTATTTATTTGTATTTACACTTACAAGATTTTTATTTAAAATGAAATCTGAAATTTGATTTCAAGTTGTAACAATGGAAAATACCTTTATTATTAAACATAAATTTTTTTATTTTTAAAAACTTTTAACAATTAAGTATATTAGTGTTTTAATAAAAGGCAGTTTGATAGACTAATTTTTCTAGATAGTGTTTGCAAAGTAATGTTAACTATACAAACAATTGTTTAGTCAATGTGCTTCTTATAAAACTAGATTTAATTTCTGGATACACACTTCCAAAAACATAATTGTTTTTAATATCAATACCTTTTTTTTTCATTAAATCAGAAAAACTCACACAAAACATAAAGTCATATCAGATACCTTCCAAAAGAAGCCACTGATAAACCGAGTCCATTTGCCATTCCAACTTGTTCAGATTCAACGGAATTATTTATAAATATATTCACGCATAAAATTCCTGCACTGTATGTTGATCTCATTAAACATTGAGTGATCCATAATGATACCCATAAAAACATTCTAAAATGTAAAAACAGGTGAAATTTTTTTTTAATAGTATAGATACTGTTTCGTATAACCTTATTATTTTTAACTTAAATTGTTTTATAGCATTTTTATAACTTATATTTGAGCCGGGATAGCTCAGTTGATTAAAGTGCTGCTAAAAAGTTCAGAATAATTATTGGCCATAGCAGCAGGCTTGCAGGTTCGAACCCCAACTCCTATTCAGCGTATAAGTATTTCGGTACAAAGGGAACTTGTTTCGATTAGCTCTGTCATTACGATGTTTTCTTCTTGACTAGTAAATAAATAATCTAGTCAAGTAAATGAAAAGTATAAGTAAAAAATAACTTATACTTACTGTTTATGTTAAAATTTAAAAACATGGTTTATTTCAAAAAAAGGGCATTTGACAAAAAGAAAATATTTTTTTAATGATAAATAATTCTAGAGATTTTAAAAATTTTATTTACTTCAAAATACAATTTTTTATTTATACAAGTCTTATGTTTTTAAGAATTTAAAATAAGAAAAAAATTTAAATATTCCACTATTAAAATTATTTTTACAAAGAGAAACAGCAAAAAGAAAATATATATGTATTTTTAGAAAAAGCAATGCATATTGTACATAGCACAAGCAATGCATATAAATCATACCTTTTTCAAACAAAAACTCTAAAATAAGTATTTTTCCATGGAACAGTCAAATTGTGGTTGGAAAATACTTTTTGTATATAGTTGAAGACAAAAATTAAACTTTCATTTTATCAGAAATACCTGTTACTGAATCCACACCAAAAACTGCAGATTTCACTATTGTAAACTTATTAAATTAATTAAAATGGTAATAATAATTTTTGCAAATGAGGTAACATCCATTTCTAAAACATCTGCAAAAATTTTTCATAATGTGGAAATCAGGAATATTAATAATTTGTTTAAGCAAATTTTTTAGCTCTTTTTCTAAGTAAAATAACTTAGGATTTATAACATTTTTGCACTCCTGCATTTTCAATCTTTTTTTCTATTACATAGATATTGATCATAACTTAAGTCTATGGAGTTAAATGTTCTAAGCTTTCTAGCTTTAAAAGAGCATTCATTCTCAATACAGACAGGCATATTTGCCATATTACCTTTAAAGGTATTAACACTGTTTGCACACATTAGATCAAATGACTAAAATAAACTTCTATAATTTACTAAGGTTCTAATAGTGTTTGAAAATTGCTGCTATCCTTCTGCAAAAATGTAATAGTAATTGATACAAAAATAATTTATAAAGGAATATAATAGCATTTCACATCACCACCATTTCTCAAAAATAATAAAATGGCCTCCTGGAAACCCATCCAAGCCAAAATTGCAAAGTTAAAATTTAAAATTTAAATTGAGTTTCAGAGATGTTAAAATTTATAATTTAAATCAAAACATTTATGAAGTTTCATACCTATTTTTAATCTTGGATGTGGTAGGTAACAAAATATAAAACATTTATGAAGTTTCATACCTATTTTTAATCTTGGCTGTGGTAGGTAACAAAAATACTAGAACGCTGAAAAGAAATGTAGCAACAGAAAATATCTAAAAAGGTAATGAGTTAAAAAGAAAACAAAATATAAAAATATTTTTAATAAAACATTCAATGCATATAAAAGAACTTTTTAAAAAACAACAACAAAACAAGCATAACAATACCTTTTTTGAACCAAATTTGGTAATTATCTAAAAATTGCACAAGAAATTTGGTAATTATCTAAAAATTGCACAAGAAATTTGGTAATTATCTAAAAATTGCACAAGAAATTTGGTAATTATCTAAAAATTGCACAAGAAATTTGGTAATTATCTAAAAATTGCACAAGAAATTTGGTAATTATCTAAAAATTGCAAATACAATCAACTTTACAATAATATATTATGCAATATCTTATTTAATTTGTAAGCTCTGGACCTGGTCCTATACAACGCTAAACAACACTTTTCAATAAAAGTCATTAAAACTAAAAAAATGTTGTAAAAAATTAAATTTCTAAAATGAATTCCTTAAATTAAATCTTTAAAATAAAATTTTATCATTTTTTCCTCCGACTAAATATTCTTTTCCTTCGACATTTATTTATGTTTTTTTACCTAAATGACATCATCTACAATCTGATTCTATAATCACATCTCTTAGGTCTACGTAACTGGATAATTCCGTTTGTCACTTTTTGCAATCTTTGTGTCGCATAAACAACTAAATATTATCCTTTGTGGCTGGTGAGCCCCAAATTCTTCCAAAACACACTCAACAACCTAATGACTACACTGACAATCACGCACACGTTCATTCGGAATTAACAGGAATGTTAATTAACAATTAACATTCCACAATGCATGCAGGATTCGCTGACAATGTGCTCAGATCAAAATCTCACTTTATAGCACATCATTCCACACCAGTAAGGAGTTGTAACTCTTTTAGCTAAGAATAATGGCTTGCAGCCATTTGTGGTGATTTTAAAGTGAATGAAAACATAGCAAGACCATGCTAGATGACCAAATGGAACATACTAATCAACTTCATCATCACATCTACTAATTTTAGAGATATCAATAGTCTCTAAAATTAGTAGATCAAATATTTTTTCTTTGTTGCATATGTTCTACACACAGAGTGACTAGAGTGTTAGCTGTTTCTCCCCATGCCCAATTAGCGCCCATTATTCGTTCTTTTATTTCACAAAAGTCTTGTCACACATTTATATTTTCTCATGATTTTTATTTTTTGTTCAATGACACCATCTACAATCTGTTTTTATTTTCACATCTTCCAGGTCTACATAACTAGACGGCTCCGTTGGTCACTTTTTGCAATCTTTGAGTTGCATAAACAATTACCATTCATCCACTAAATGGCTATTATGGCATAAATTTTTTGTGACTCTTGTACCCATGAATTTTAGCGCTTTGTAGCTTGTAGTTTGTGAGCTTTATATTATGAATTTGTTACATTAGCCAATCTTTTGTGTCAATTAAAATATTTATCTATTTTCTTAAATTTTTTTTAAATATAAAAATTTAGAAAATTTTATTGCTATTAAAAAAATAAATATAAAATTTCAACTTCTATTTAGAAATAACTAAGGGTGGTATCTAAGTGTGGAAAAAAGTTACCTAAATTAGTAAAGACAATGCAATTTATTATTAAATATAATTATATACTAAACTTTTTAAGTAAAATAAAGTGTAAGCATAAATTTAAGTAAATAAGTAACTTGCATTTCTTCCTCCTTACCAAAGTCACTTATTGGGCTAGAGTTGACATGGAACCTTCAATCTATAGGTTCTAAGCCAGAACTCTTAACACCGCTGCGTAACAACTGCTGCGTAAACTTTCTAATTTTTAAGTTTATTTATTAATACTAATGTATTACCATCATTTATTTTTAAAGATATTTACTTGTGTAATTTATTTATCAACATATACTCATAATTTATTTTTCCATTCTTACCATAAGAAAAATAATAAAATTTTTATTTTATAATTCAAAAAACCATTGGAGCATTAAACTTAATATTTTTATTTTTTTATGTTCTAAATAACAATTTTAAATATGACAGTTACAACATCACAGGCATTAGGTAAATTACTGTTTTTAATAAAAAAAACAAAAACCAAATCAATAGATAGTTTAAATTTTTACAAGGTGTTTTAATGCATAACTTGGCTGTGATAAAAAAAAACAAGATGTTTTAAATTTGTTAGAAAAGCATATAAAGTATAAAAAATTAACAATTAACATTATTAGTAGCTTACCTTGTTGATAATTGAAAACTGAATTACAACAACAGTAAGTCCAGTGACAAAATATAGTACACCAATGTCTGACGTGCTCATGCTTAAGCCATCTAAGTGTTATTATAAAATATTAAAACTACTTGGCTTTAGTTTTGTAAAAAATACATCAACAAAAGCAATACACCAAAAAAATCAGGAACAGAAATTAAATATAGGGTTATGTCTTCTTCTACTGTGACGTAAAGAAAACTTTTAACTTTAAAACTTTATAGGTCCAAAACTGTAACAGACTTAATTTTAGGGTTTTCAGATAAGTAATTTATACTCAATTATTAACTAATTTATATTATTCAATTTGAGTAAAATTAGTTTTTAAATGTGATTTTTAATCTTTTGTAATATCTGGCATGCTTCTTTAACTACCATGATATCGCACGACCTTCCGAAATTGATTCTTCACCTACCATGAATAAAAGAAACATTGGTTTTTTAGGTTTATAAAAATTATCCACTAAAGATTTTCTCTGAATTAGAACTTTGTTTCTTCTTAAGTATCTTTTTTTTCTTTTTCTTTTGTTGTTTAATTCTTTGCCGTAATTTATAGCTGTAAGTGGTCAGCAGTTGTTTGTCAGAATATACTAACTTAAATTTTATTACTTTTTTTGAATATTTTTCTTTCTTTTTTTAAATCAAGAATCTTCTTATTACAATTCATTTTGTATCATAAATAAAGTATAAAAAGCATCTCAAAAAAATATTCCTAAGCGTTAAACTACCTTTACGTAATAATTTCTTGTTTCTCCACGCAGCAGCCTTGTTTGTCAAGGTTCGTGTTTCAGAGTTATAAAATTGAAAGAGGGTTATAACCACAAGTAGCCTCCTCATCTGTAGTGGCCTTTTCGGCCTAAGGGAGGTGAATTATGAAAAAAAAAAAAATCAGATTAACCTAAATGGCTTTTTAAACAAAAAAATAAACAAAATAAAACGCGTTTAAAATATTGTTTCCATAAACAGTAAGTGCTAACTAGACAGTGTCAAGGATTAAACAATGTTATATAAAAAATACTACTATTTTTTGATAAAATTTAAAATATTCAATTTTTTTACAACTATTTTACACTTATAGCAAAAAAAAATATATATATTGATTTTAGGCCATAAATAAAAAAGATAAACTTTTTTTGACAGGAAAAGATTTTCTTAAGCAAGCAATAAAAAATCATTTGCTGATAAAAAACATACAAAAATAATATAAAATGAATAACTATAAAAATTATTCTTTTTAAAAATTTATTATAACTGAAATAAGTTAGTTTTATATAAAACAATACTAAAAAAGTAAAAAATAAACTTTACTTATTTCTTCAAAAACCATGGTAGTCAAAAACCATGGTAAGGACTTCTTCATGGTAGACATAACCCTATTCTAACTTATTTATTTATTTTAAAAAACAGTTACTATATTTGAGGTCAGTTGCTGCAAACACTGGAAATAAATCTTCGTATCCAACAGCTGTTAGTGAAAACAATCCATATAGAGTAATCGAAAGGATAAAATTTTTGTTTCTAAAATAAATTTTTTTGCTATGATAATTTATACGGATAAAAGAAATTAAATATTTTTAATAGTAGTACAAAATGAAATAATACTTCAACAGTCGCCAATATTTTGTTGAGTTATTAACACTTGAAGAACATTTTGATTCTGTTCCATACTTCAAATCAATTTTTGAATGGTTTTTTATTGGTTGTGCAACTAAAAAATTTTTATCAGATTTTGCTTCATCTCCATTGAAACCAGATTCATACAAAATTGGTGAAGATCCATCAATTGCTTCTTCTGATTCATCATCAATTTCAACAATTCTAAAAAAAATCTAGAGTATATAAATATACTTTTGCTAATTTTAAAAAATGTTAACTTGTTTAAAAGTCCAAAATATTTAAAAATAATTCTAACTATTTTATTTAGGATTTTATGTTATTTATTCATACTGGTTTTTTTGCAGCTTTGTAAACTTTATTTAATTGTCTAATATATTGGAACTTTGCTCCAATATATTAAACAATATTTTATTAAAGGTCATTAAACTACATACAAAAAAATTCAAACAACAAGTGTTCCCTCAAAAATAAAACTCCACAAAATGGCTTATATGCTAATTTTTAAATAACATTTGTCTATGTTTGCATGAAAATTTGTAATTACAAAAAATATTGTATTAAGCGCAAATAACTGTTATTTACTTATAAAAGTAAGCTTAAAAAAGGTAGATGTAAGAAAACACTTGTACAAATTTTATGAAAATAACATTACAAAAGAAAAACTTTTTATTCATAAATATCTTAAAGTGGAAAATGTTCCAAAAAAATCTGTTTATTGTATAGCTAAAATATAGGAATAAAGGTAGAAAACAAAAAAATTTGAAACAAAAAGACAAAAAAATGAATAAAAGTAAAATCAGCCACTGTTTGTTTATTTTGAAAATAATCTAGAAGCCATTAGAAAAGGAGCCAATAAATTTAAAGTTTTGATCACAAACACAACAATTGTTAAACAAAGATAATTCTTATTGTATTAATGACTTCATTTGCTTTGCTTTTTCTTGTTGTAGGTACTGCGCCATATTGTGTTTAAATTATTTTGTTCTCTTTACCACTTTTCATAGTAATGGCATCACACTTCACTGTATTACATGATAGGCCTTAAAAAACTTTGATTCTCTTCATAAGTGATTAAAATCACTAAAAACAACAATATCAACAGAGTGATAAAAAGAAAGGGCTTGGTCAATATTGTACAAAATAACATCAAGGTAAGATTTAACTGATGGAAAGCCAATTCAGAGATCACAAATATTTTTATGTAAATATATACATAAACAGGTGATGGTGGTGATATTTGTTGTGGTGATGGTTGTAGTGATGGTTTTTTATGTTTAATATTTTTAGGTACTTTTATTCATGATTCAAGTTAAAGCAACTCAACCATAAAACACAAGCACCCTAAGCAATGAGCTATATGTTTGCCTCAGTCATGCTGACAGTCAGGCAAACCCAAAGATGTGAGTTAGGGCTCCTTATGTGGACTCAGCAATGCACACTGAAAGCATTAGCAGGAACACTATCTATATGCAGCATAACACTGTTTTATTGCGTATTTGTGTACTTTTTTGTATTAGTTTTTAAACAACTTTAAACTTTTTTGAATTAGTTTAAATTATAATGGAACAACTTATTTTATGAACTTAACCTGCAACATTTCAAACAATTAACAGAAATGGAAACAAATATTGAACCTTTACAAAACAGCATTATGTTGACCTTTGAAACAAAAAAATTCAATGTTCAACAATTCTTTGAAGATTTTTTTTTTTAAATTCACTTTCAACAAAACTACAAACAACCATTAATTAAGTTATTCAAAAAAAAAGAATAAAGCTACAAAACACGAAAATGGTTGAAAAAAGACTTTAAAAACTGTAGAATGTAAAGAATTTAATGTGTAAAGAATATATGAGGAGGGAGTTCCAAATCATCAATGTAAAAGGAAACAAACAAGATGAATTAAAAAATTTTGAGCATGTAGACATTTGAAGTAAAATAATGCAACTTAACTGCTTAGCTCTTTTGATTCTGCATTGTAAATAATGCAAAAAACTTCACTATGTTGCAAGATCAAAACTCAAAATCACAAATCAAAACAAACCACTTTACTTTTAACTCTATAGACCGAATTTTTCAGAAAAATCTTGACATTTTCTAAAGCTAGAGTTGCAGCTCTAATGCTGCAGAGCTATATGTATATATTGTTGCAGAGCCATACATACAATGTTTCAGTAACGATGAACTATGCAATCATTTATGTAATACCACAGTGAACAAAAAAGCTATATCATTTAAAGTAGATACTGGAGCTCAATGCAATGTTTTTTTATATACTTTTAACTTATGCATCCCTAGAAAATCTTTAACTTAAAAACCATTAGCAACACAATTAAAATCACACAACTAGAAAAGTACAAGAAAGAACAGAAATAAAACATTGTTTTATGTCTGTACATAAAACATTGTTTTATGTCTGTACTAAGAACTTGCAACTTGGATGTTAAAAAAGTAATATTTCACACATGATCCAAATTATTTCTGATGTTCAAGACGAATTCCATTTTTATATAAAAAGGTCATCTGCAAATGTATGTCTGAAGCCATACTGAAATGGCCTGTTGCCGGGGGCTTCAGTACATACATCAACTGACAAAAAGCCTGACTCAAAACAGAGTGCTGCTACATGACTGAGGGTTTGGGACAGCAATCTTTTCTTTCACTATTCTTCATTTTTTTCTTTTTTTTTATCTGAAAATGTATATTTATATAAAGCAACAGAAATATGGTAACAATTTGTTTCATATATATGCTGTAGTAGATATATATTAGGGTTGTGCAGGATATAGTATGAAGTGTCAAAACGTTGTAAAGTGAAGTTTTTCCTATTATAATATCAATACTATGTCTAAAAATAATTTTTATTGATTTTTGATAAGTAATCCTAAGGTCTCTTAAAGTCTCTGAACATGCTGGTCGTCTTAATTAGCATTTTTTTTTAGAATCGCAATAATTAAAGTTCATTTCTACTAAAGTTCTGCTTTGTTTTCAGTGGCTTCTAATTGTATTATTTGAGTTTTGACACTGTTTTATGAAAGAATAAACTTAATTTTATCATTGAATATATTGGAAAAATATTGACTTGAAGTAGCAGGAAGCACGAGTCGGTGAAGTACCGAAGATAAAAAGTCTGAAAAACCAAAATCCACTTCATCAAGGTAAGACAACAAGTACTCCTTGCTCACATAGTACTCTAATTAGTACTCTAAACAGACCTGTAACACGAAATTTAACTGATTTCTGGTTAATTGATCATCCTTCAATATCAATTAATGGGGAAAAACTGCCTGATGGTAGGCAAATTATAAAATATGTCCAATTTCTAAGAAATGATCCAAGAAATTTTGAAAACCCTGGCAGCAAGTGAAGAAATTTTATTGAACAATTGGATTCTTTTTTTAATATTGGTGCACCTGACACCATAGATAAAATAAAGAAATCAAGATTTTTGTCTGAAAGAAAAAAACAAGATAATATATCAACACTATCAACAGGAAAAAAAAGCATGTATGGATGGACATGATAAAATTTTTGAAACTAAAGCCAATATGAAACTTGAAAGACAAGCATCTGAAGCAAGAATTATAGAAAGAGAACAGTGCATGTTGAAAATTTAAAGAGGAGAACAGGTTGAAGGAGTTGCTGCTTTGCTAGAATATGATTATGAGACATAATTAAATAAAAAAAATGATCGGATTGAAATTGATCCTGATTTTGAAATAAATCTACAACAACAAGAAACAGAAATAGATTTAGACGAATATGTAACTTTTAAAAATTACTGCAATGTGACCAGATAACCAGTGCTGCTGATGATGTAAAGTTGTTAGACAATCAGATGACAATGATTATATCAGTGTTAATAAAAGGAGGTAATCTTGAGGATATTGGTATATCAAGATCAACAACTCAGAGAACAAGAATGTTTAATTATCAAAAGATTGCAGAAATTATCATGGAGAAAGTAAAACAGAATCCTCCCCATTATGGTGCCTTACATTGGAATAATAAACTTTCAAAAGATATGCCAGGAGATACATATGAACAACTTGCAACTTTTCTTTTTGGAGCTCCGGAATACAAGAGAAATTATTAGGTGTACTTTCTCTAGCTAACTCACAAGAAGCAACTCAAGCTGAAGCAACGCTTGATCTGCTACAAGTTTGTGATTCGTTAGATACAACAGCTAGCAATAATGGTATACACAAAGGAGCTAAGCTAATGGAAAAAAGTCTAGATAGAAAGTTACTCTATCTAGTTAGTCAATGTCACATTTTCAAACTTGTTGTTGGTGCGGTATTGAAGTTATTGTTTGGTGACATTTTAGGCCTGGAAAACAAGCTGTTTGCAAAATTTAAAAAAGCATGGTTAAACTTGGATTAAGAATAACCAATACAATTACTGGAAACTGAAAGCAAATGGTTGTTAAACATAAAAGATAAACGTCTCAAAGAACTTACAGACATGGTATCTTGAAAGGATTCAACAACTTTTCCAAATATGATTATGTGAATCTGCTGAAAACACTCTGATAATTTTGGGTGAAATTACCCACACGACATCCAATTTCTCAAACCAAGGGCGATGCATTAGGCATATTAGATGTCCAACAACATACATTCTGGATGTATATGTGTTCCAAACAGATACGGTACAATAATGACATTTCTAAACCCATGCCTATGAATGGATTTTTGGCTTATATTAACACTCCTGCATGGATGGAAACATCATGGCAAGCGGATGCACCTATGAAAGACCTCCAGTTTATTTATGACATGACTGTTTTTAGAATTGTTGACGTTGTGATTACGAAATTGTGAAAAAATTCTGTAATCATCAATGGTACCCATCAGAAGAAGTTATCTCATTTGCCTTATTTAGTAAACATCCTGATGACACATGCACTAAAGAAAGAATTGGCGGATGAATTGCTTTTGAGCAAGCACTGGTTGGCTTTCTAAACCAGTGGAACAATGGAAGTCAGACCTTCAAGAGGTTTTAAGAGATGTAAAATAATTTGTTCGTACAGTTGAAGTTATATTTGGTCACTTATAATTGACTAAAACTTTATTACTCTTTTTTTAATTAAAAGGTAATATTAACTTGTTTTTTTTTGTGTTTTTTTTTTTATTTTTAGATCTGATTAACTTTATGTTAAATACATGATTTTGGTTATACTATGTTGTTATATTTATTGAATTATAACATTTATAATGTAAAATATTTGAATTTTTGATCTAAAAGTGGAGTTCACATTCGGAGGCGTTGAGGGACCTCAGGATCAATTATCAAAAACCTGTCAAAATTATTTTTAGACAATATTCTTGATTGAATAATAGAAAAAACTTCACTTCATGACGTTTTGACACTTCATACTTAATTCTGGACAACCCTAATATATATATATATATATATATATATATATATATATATATATATATATATATATATATATATATATATATATATATATATATATATATATATATATATATATATATATATATATATATATATATATATATATTTATTTGTTTAATCAATCACCTTTCCTGTCTTGAAAGCACAACATATGCAACCAATAGTGCAACTATTAATCCAACACAGATAATAATATTAGGCAGAAGAACTTTGAAAATATCAAAAAATCCATCTAAAAAACAAAAATATATGCACATACATGCATACAAATATATATATATATATACATACATATATATATATATATATATATACATATATATATATATATATATATATATATATATATATATATATATATATATATATATATATATATATATATATATATATATATATATATATATATATATATATATATATATATAATATATATATATATATATATATATATATATAATATATATATATATAAATCATAGATTAGGGTTTGACTTTGAAAATCCCGGAATTTTTTTTCTATGAAAATTCTGGAAAATCCCGAAAAATAATTAAAAATTGATCGTTTTACAGGGTTATGCATTTTTATATGCACGTCTATTGATTTTTATATGCATCTTTATTCATTCTTATATGTGCATTTACTCATTTAATTCATTTATTCATTTAATTCATTTATCAATTTAATAATGTAATAAAATTAAACAAAGACTAGATACTAAATTAAATAAACCATCATGGAATGTAAAAAGTCTTCGTTTTAAGTATTTTTTAAACTTTTTTTTTTTTTTTTTAATTTTTATTTAGGTGCCCCAATAAGTCCTTATGGTCCTATCACAGAGCACCGCAGATGAGAATTTAATCGGAAGTTCATGCCTCCTTCCTAACCGATGTTGCAATACTTGCCCAGAGGTGGGGTTTGAACCACGGATCCTTTTGTTTCTGAGGCAAGTGGCAACCTCATTTACCAGGAAATAAGAAAAACTTGTTTTAAAAAAAGTAAATTGTTTTTTCAAAACAAAATGCAATTTAATAATTTTTCTTAGTTATTATTGCTTTTTTAAAACGCATATAAGAATGAATAAATACGCATATAAATTGAATAGACGCGCATATAGGAATGAATAACCCTGTAACAGACAACAAAAACTTTCGTAAACTTTTATAATGGAATTTAGAATATTTAACTTTTTACAAAAAAGAAATTCTAATATTCGAAAAAGTTAATTTGAATAAATTAATAAGCAAAAAAAAAATAAAAAAATTGTTACTAAAATATCAATTTTCATAATAATTTTTTTACTTTTTTTTTTTTGACCTCGTAAAAATTTAAATTATAGAAAACATTTGTTTAAATGCAAAAGTTGTCGTATTTAAAATTTTATGTAAAAATATATAATTTTTTTTTTCAAATTAATAACTGAAAATTAAAAATGAATTTGCAGAAAAGGAAATCCCAGAAAAAACTCATCTATGATATTTGAAGAGAATAATGTTTTTTACCTTAAAAAATAAATTATTGGACCATTAACAAAAATTTACTATGAGGAGAAATGCAGTTTTTTTTTAGTTTCCAAAAGTTTACATAGTTGGACTTCCGCTCTTTTAGCATTCACCGATTC